CCAACACTAAAGCAACTTTCAAGCCCGGGGCCCATGCGGCCCATTGTTTGGACTCAGCGCAACGCTCCTGCATGGTCATTTGGTTGCGAGCAGGAGCTGGATCTTCTGGTTGGACACCACTTGGCGGACCGCGAACTTCATTCAACACTTGAAGGTCTCGCATGACAAAGGCCAGCGAAGTGGGCTTTTTCTTGATGTGGCCCATTGGACCTTGATCAAAATTGATCAACTTGACTTGGTAGGTCGTGGCGAAATCTTGCCACTCCTTGGTGCGCCATATGGACATGAATTGCTTTCGCCGTACCTCCTCTTCCGGGCGGTACTTGGCAGGGTCTTCAGGCTGCTCGATGGCCAAGGCTGTCTGAGGCTCCTGAGGGAGGCGAACATCTTCGCAAAGGACGTACAAGGCCAACATTCGGAAGAGCAGCACACTGTCTCCATTCACCAGCTCCGCATCCGAAGGAGACAAAGTCGGCAGGCCATACGGATGTTGTTCTGTCCGCAGGATGCCAGGACCGCCATCGTCTTGGTATCGGAGCGCCGACACCGTCCGACAAGGTGGCCCACCCACCAAGGCCTTCACTCGGCCTGAAGCCGCCAACGACAGCAGGAACCGGAAAACATGATCATCATGAAGATCTGCTGCAATGGGGGCTTGCAAATCAATGCACAAGACTTCAACACCATCCCGCTGCAAGGTCTTCTGCCAGTAGTCCGTGTCAGGACCCGAAAACAAATGCAGGACAATCTGCTTTGCCTTGTCCAGCCTACGGCGTTTCCGCCGATTCCATGGAAGAAGGTGTCCATCGAATCCCTGATGTAGTGACGTCAGGTCAGGGATGATCCTCATCAGGATCTCATCGGGCAGGGATGGAAACAGGGCCTTCAATTTCACCGTCAGGGCCAACTCCGTCGAGTCTTGAAGAGAGGCCAAATCGCTGCTCTGTGGACTTTCCAGCAGCGCTTTCACCAGCAACGCCTTCTTGATGACATGGGTCTGGCGCTGCTCCAACTGATCAATCATCTCTTGGCCCACCGCCCGAGTGACCATTGGACACCCATGCTGAACCGTCACTGTGAGTTCTTGGCCCCTTTCATCACGGAGACCACACAGACTTCCTTTCCATTCAAACTTGTACCCTAGCTCGGCGATGCCACCCAAAGGCACAATCCAAGACTTGCCCATCGCCTCGTCCTGAGGGTCCGAGAGCAGGACCTTTGATGAAGGCTTCAACCGAAGCTTGGATGTGATGCCATCAGCTAAAGTGACCTGAGTGGGTGCTGCCTCTTGCCATTCCTGCCAGGTCTTCGCTGGTCGTAGGGCATGTGTGGCACCGGAGTCCAAAAGTACCAGGTCACCTGCTTCATGCTCGAGCTGGCTGATCTTGATGACGCGCAGTTGTGGTACACGGAGGGACTTCAGCAATTTGGTCGCTTCCTGCAACAAGGCCTCACTTGTTGTTGAGGTTGCCCCAGTCTCACCCCCTTTTGATGCCCCTTCATTTGACTGCGAATCTTGTACTTGTCCTCCTCCATCAGAGCACACCTCCATCTCCTGCACCTTGATGGGAGCTTGGTTGGCTGCAGTGACGTTGGACGAAGATGATGATTTTGAAGCCCCTTTTCCTCCCCCTGAGCCCGAACCGGGCTCACCACTGTTCTTGCCCTCCTTGGAGTCTTTGGCGGGGGAAGGTTTTCCTTGTGACTTCAAACGGCATTCTGTTTTGCGGTGTTCTTTGCTGCCGCAAATCCAACATCGGGCATTTTTGTCCTCAACGCCCTCCCAGCTGTGTGACCATTTGCAGTTCTTTCCAGCCTTGCAGCCAGCATCCGACCGAAAATACCGGCATGGTGTGGAGGTTGTAGCGACCCCTGCATTGCCACCCTTACCCTTCTCCCCTGTGCCAGCACCCGAAGTTTGTTGCTTCTGTGAGGCTTCCAACTGTTTAACTTTGATGGGCGACGGTGTAGTAGGTGGAGCATTGATCATCAACGACAATGTTTCAGCTTCAGCCAACAAACACTGACTAAACCTCCAGATGCTTTGGTGAATAGGCTGCTGATCAATGGCCAACTGCAAACGACTCTGAGCCAGTCGAAATGACGCTTGGGCGTCAAGCGAAGCCACCAAACTGCAAGCAGGCTCTAAGGCCTTCAACAACAATGTACCGTCCGGCAGCACCGCTTCAATCTCTTGAGCCCTGGCAAAATGACGACGCCAAGAGCGGAGAGATGCAGCCAAATCAGTGGCTCCTGTTGCCTTGTCCAGCGTTGTCAACTTGGCCAAAAGAATCGCCTTCTCTCCAGAGCCGCCCGGTTGGTAGCGGACCATGAGGCGAAACAAAAGGGCTGTGGAATTCAGCTCTCTAGCCGTGATCAAGGCCTGTTGCTGGTCAGCGGGGATGGCCCGCAACAGCAAGTTCACTCCTCGCTGTTCTGTTCGCTGGTAGCAGCTATCATACAACTCGTCGGGAAGGCGAGGTGCAATCTGAACTCTTTCCAGCGGAGACGAAGTCTTCCAGCGATCATAAAAACACTGAGCTTCACGCAGGGTCAAATTCCACCATCGAGCACTGACCGACGAAAGGTCCCGAAGCACGGGTCCATTGACTGCAAGCCAGTCACCGAGCTCCAAAGGCAATGCATCAGCTGCCAACTCAGCGAGCTCTGCCTTGCTGTTGCCACCGCCTTCGCCCCACGGCAAAGGCATTGGTGAAGTGCCACCATCACCCGGCCAACGACCATAGTGCGGCTCACCCCGCTCTCGAAGCTCCGGACTGGGTTTTCGATTCCCATAGTGACCATCCCCAACTGCACCAGGGGAAAAACGATCAAAAACACGATCCACCCCAGGCCGACGGTCGGAACCCCAACCATAAACCTGGCTCTCCGAGCCACGATGAAAGCCAGCTTCATGAGACGAAGTGGGAGGCACATCTTTCGAGCAAGCTGCTGACTGCGCCCAGCTGACCCCTTCTCGCACGCGCTCCAAATGTTCAGCCCGAGGTTCTGGAGGAGCGAAAGGCGCAAATGACTTGCCTTCACGCAAATGCAGCGGCACCCACTGAGAGTCCTGTCGCCGCTTCATTTCCAGCGACTCATAGTCCTGGAACATAACTCCAGCCGAGGCACTCTGAATTTCTGCCGAGACACTAGTTGGGAACGGCGGTACAGGTGGTGCAATCACTTCAGGCGGTGGAGGTCCACATGGAATTTGCGTTCTGTTGGGGGTGTACCGAACATGGTGTCCAGAAGGAGGCCTTCGTGTAGTAGGACTTCTCCCCCGTGGAGTGCTAAGCGAAACTTCCCCACCATGAACCCTATTGGAAACACCACCAGTCAAACGATCATCATGACCAGAGGGGCCCACACCACCATGGACATGTTCATGAGCACCGTCACCACGAAGCCCATCACCTGTTCCCGTTTCCCACGACGAGGGAGTGGACATAGTACCCATGGGTTGCTGCTGTTGGAGGCTTCTAAGGCGCTCTACTTCAGCTTGAAGATGACTATTTTGCTCCCTCAAAAATAGCACCATTTCTGCTTCAAAAGCTCGTTGAAGACTTTCAGGGTCTTTCCGAGCCACCTCACTAGTTCCAGTGAGCTTGATCGCAGGGGGCGATTCCTCAGGCGGCACCGGCCCCATGGAACGATCTGGCCGACGATCAACCTTCTGTCCCGGCTGACCCTCCTCCGGCATTCGACCTTCAGTTTGGCGAGCTCCCCCACCACCGCGACCTTCCGATCTGTGGCCATGGCTATGGCTTGGAGATGTGACGAAACCACGTCCCGACTGGCGCTCGGCTGCTGACCCGCGGCCTTTGCCTATTCGACCACCCGTGCCTTCAAGCGGCACTGCCTCCGGACCTTCCACCGGCCCTTCCAGATCTTCGTCGCCGTCGCAGGGAACCGCCGGCAACGTCTCCGGTCGTCGGCTGCGGAGTGCGACCTCGTTGCGAATCCTCTCAGACCACCAAGGATTTATGAGGTCGAACCCTGGCGGTGAGGATCGCGCCCTCTCCATGGCCCGAGAAAGGCGCCTAAAAAGAGCTTGGGCTCATAACCCTTGAAAGGATCACAAGCGGGCCTTTTTCCTTCACTTGAGAACAAAAGCCTTCAGGTGTTCGCACCTCTATTCACAGACCCGTAAACCATATTTAGCTAGCTTGTGTATGCTTGTGTGGTGCCAACGGCACTTCTTACATTGGACAACCCACAACTGAACATTGAAATTGAAATACAGTCTGCCAGTTGGAACTTTCTGCAGTGATGTCGTTGTGTGACGTGTCCAACCAAGGAAAAGAGAAAATGTCCAAAGCCATAGACCACGGAGAAAAGATGTGGGCTTGAGTCAGTGCGTTCCAAGTTGAGTACATGCAGGAGCACGTTCTGCCGGAGCTATCAAGAAATGGAGCTACCATCATAGGTCCTTGCCCTCACAACTGTCCATTTCCAAGAATGTTTGCATTAGTTGAGAAAGCATTCGCTTATCAGGAAAGCTTTGCTAACCTTTGCTGCGCTTTTCGTTTTTGCAGGTTGAGTCCATTCTCAAGCCTAGTTGATGTGCCATGCATGGGCTCTGTCAAGCTTTGGTTTTCTCTATCTCGCACTACATCAGTCGCTCCACCGATTGCGTGAGGGTTCAAGCTGGCCATGTGCAGTCTGAAGTCCTTGCAAAATGACAGGCTTGCAGTGTCTCACCCATCCATCGCAGCACAATGCTGACTGATGCTGACTGCCTGCAGTTTCAGCTGTGTTTCTGAAGTTCCAACTGAATTAATTAAGCAAGTTCACTACAAATATTACAATATATATACCCGACTTGAGGATCCAGAACCCTCGAAGTTGCAGCTCTGTGGGGAAGTGCTGCGTTCCAAGGCGTGATTGTTCTTGAGCAACAATTGGCGAGTGAAACAATGCGTTTGTTCAAGTGCCTGAAAATTGCTTGCAGAGGGCGTGCTAGTTGCAAGCACACTCAATGTCCGCTTGATTAGCACATGCACAACATCGCAAACATCCGCATACATCCGCAAGTATTTTTTTTGAGCTTCAAAAGTCCAGAACTCTGCGCGTTAAACGCTCAGATGGCTTGGGGCAATGCGTTGCTCGTGGTCTTGCTTTCTGCTTTACCACAGATTGCGGCTGGTAACGGCTGCACAGCAACGCAGATTCAGAATGACTTGCTCCCCAACCATGCCACACCATCCAGTTGCTGGACCGTCATTGTGGTGAACCGTCAGAAGGTCGTCTACGATGTGACAAAGCTGGTGTCCAACCATGAAGGAGGGCGGAGGGTCATTGAGCAAATGTGTGGACGCGACGGAAGCATCGGGTTTTGGCCTTGAGCTTAGTTATAGTTGTTGTCGACATTTGTGGAATGTTTTGGTAAATGAATGTAAATGACCATTGCATACCATTGCAAATGAGACCTGAATTGAGATTGGCTTTCCGGCAGTTGGACCTTGAAGTTGGACCCATTCAGACTCCAACGCGTGGTTTATGGATGTTCATGGTGCCTTATGAGGTTTGAATTGAAACATCAATGATTGGCAAGAGCGATTGGCTTCGTCGGCTGTGTAAATTCCTAGGTGTTGGCACACCTTGGAGGACTTGCAAGAGTCGATCGATGATGGAGATGCAACGGAAATTTGCCGAACTTCTGCAAGTGTTCGACGTCTTGATGCTCGTGAAGATGCAAGTGGTCGACGTCTTGATGATGACGAATGGGATGAAGAAGATGAAGATGACGATGAAGGTATTCGAAACTCTTGTGCAGCAGGTGGTTCACTTCCTCCAGCTCCAGCCACACAGATTCTCGCCAGTGAAGTAGCAAATCACAAGAGTTCAGGTGATTGCTGGACAAGCATGACTCAAGGGACAACAAATGTTGTTATGGATATCACCAACTACATGACGCTACATCCGGGTGGAAAAGCCTACATTCTGTCGATGTGTGGACGGGATTCCACTGCCGCATTCCAAGTGTACCATCCCTGGACCTATGTTACAGAAGCCGTGAGACATGGCTACGTTTCAATGAAGGGTCAACTTTCGGGAACATATCCTGTGATCACCACAACCACAGTAACACTTGCACCTGGGGTAACAACGACAACTGGTCCTACCTCTTCTCCGCAGACAAAAATCACCGCAACAGTCCTCGGGCAGCATGCGAGCACTTCAAGTTGTTGGGGCCGCATTGGCTCCTGGGTGGTGGACATGACGCAGCTGCTATCAACGCACCCTGCCGGCAACTCTATGCTGACTTGCGGGCAGGATGTCACGGCATCCTTCCGCAGCATTCATGCAGACTCGTACATCTCCCGCATGCCTGTCATGGGCACTTGGGATGACACAGTGATTAGAAGGCCAACCCCAACACCATCGCCATCACCTGCAACAACGACCGCTCCAACCCCAGCGGCCCCAGCTCCGAGTCCACCACAGATTGTTGGTGGCCAAACATCCATTTTGAACCCTCAGGCATGCTTCACCTTGCAGACATTCAAACAATTTCAAACATATCATAGGATATCCCTAATGAAACAAGACCGAGACAAACCGTGTACAGTTGCTCTTGATATGACCCAAGGCTTTGCAGAAACATGCAAAAAACTAGAAATATTGACAGATAATGTATGCTCCATTCTGAGAGGTGCCGAGCGAGTCCAACGAGATGATTTCAAGCACAGATGTCGCTGGACATAACACGAAAGCAGATTGCTGGCTAGCTCTACGCTGCAAGGTATATGACATGACTGCATACGTTCCTTTGCACACTGCCGACAAATATGCTTCGGCAGGAAACGGTGCTATTGAGAGACTTTGCGGGTCCGATGCAACAGCTGCATTTGAAGCAGTGCATCCAATATCCTATATCGATGTGTCTGTGAGCCTGGGGGCAATCTACCAGGGTTTGCTGGCAGGCTGTGGCGCTCCTCCGGCCACTGCCTCAACTACCCAGCCTCCCACCACAACCGCAGCAGCGACGACTGCGCCACCAAGTCCAGCACCTTCTCCAGAAATGGTCCCAGTGAATGCTACTCTATGGTATGAATTGCGCTTCCCCAACTTGGTCGCTGCTACACAAAACTTGGGCAGCGTTCAAACAGAGACGTCTTTGTCGGTGGCTGTCGCAAATACAATGGCTCAACAAGGGCTAAGCAACGTGAGATGCATCGTTTCCAACCTTAGATCTGGAAGTATTTTGGCAACAGTTGGCCTCTTCATGAAAGATGTTGGCCAGCTTGAACATGTCCAGTTCTTTGGAAGGAATCATATGACAAAAGTGAGTTGGCTGGGTGACTCTCCTACAGTGCAAGGAACCCCAACGCTTGACGTCGCCTATGCCACCTCCCCCACTCCCACCCAAGCCTCCACTGCCACAACTTCCTCATTGCCAGTCTATACGATCGACCAGGTACGAGATCATAACAGCAATGTGGATTGCTGGATGGCTATACATGGGAAGGTCTATTCTTTTATGGGTGCAGGAGGAGCACACCCTGCGGGGAATTTCCTGTCTTTGGGAATTTGCGGAGTTGAGGCATCTGCAACATTTGATTTGCATCATCCGTTGTCCTACCTAAGTGTCTCAGCTCTGAAGAAGATTGGTGGCGCACAAGTTGGGACTCTTTCCTCTGCTTCCGCAGAGGATGCTGGGCGCACATATCCCCGTCCCTCGCCTGTGCAAGTCCTACCAAACATTGTGGTCACATTGAACGGTGGCTCCACCGACTTTCTGCAAAAACACAACCTTGGACAAGATTGTTGGATGGCACTGCATGGTGACGTTTCGCGGCTTCGGTCAGTTTGCTTGCATAGAGAAGTAGATGCCCTTCTCAACTTCAGAGATTTCCAGAGATTGTACGCTGATCATTCACGTGACACACTGACATACAATGACTCACGACTCAGAGAATCATATGACTTCGTACTGTAAGTTCCTTCTAGGAAGATGGCTTTCATGTCCAAAAGCAACTAGATCTGTGCCTGCGGAACATAACATTGTGAGCGAAACCACCAAGAAATTAGAATGGTTTTGTGTTTTATAACTTTTTGAGCCCGCCAAAACAGTAAGGTTTATGATGCAACCAGCATGCTGTCACAGCATGATGGAGGCCGTGCCAATGTTGAGGCTTTGTGTGGCTTGGACGCCACAGCTTCCTTTGATTGTGTTCATGGCATGGGAGAAATCCAAGAAGCAGTGAACGACTATGGAATCAGCAAAGTTGGCACTACCACCACAGTGCTTGGGCAAGGTTGCACTTTCCAACTTCAAGCAGGAATGTTACCAGATCAGCAGATAACCTGGGAGGAATTGGCCAAGCATTCAACCACTCAAGACTGCTGGGTCATCCTGGGATCCCAGGGGATCGTATGGGATATCACTGCTTACTTGCCGAAGCACACAGGGGGGTCGGCAAGTGTTGGAATGCATTGTGGTGGTGACGCAACAAGCCCTTTCGACAAGAAGCACAAAGCGGGCTACATCACAACCATGGCTCAAAAGGGTGGCATCCCTCAAGGTACAATCAGTGGCCCACAACCAGCATTGGACTCAGGTACTGTGCATCTCACACCTTTGCAAATGAGCGAGGTCGCAAAGCACAGCATAGCAGCCGATTGCTGGGTGGCAGTTCACGGCTATGTCTTGGACGTCACAGGGTACTTTTCCGGCACCTAAAGCAAGTCTTAAAGCCTCCCCAAATCTGCCAATGCTGTAGCTCACAAGATAAGCAAACAGAACAGGTGCTGACGGTGTAATGAAAGTGGCAGGCTCTCAGCTACATTGGGGATTGCAACTGAGTCCTGCAAACTATTGCAAAATGCACTGGAATGGCAACCTTATGTTGTATTGACATGGTGGTTACACAGGGGGTTGCACCACTGGGGATTTCAAAATGCGTTGTACTTGTTGGATCGTTAGATAGGAACAAAGTCCTATTCCGCAACTCGTCATTTGTCTGAAACGTTTCTTCCGCAACTATTTGTTCAGAAATGATTCTTCAGCACTGTAACTATTTTGCGATCTTGAGATTTTTTGCATGCTTCAGAAAGTATTCTTCGGAACTTCCACATTGCATCCAAATTGCATGAATGGAGCTTGGAGAGGTGGGCTTATTGACATACCCTGTGATGGCAGCGGTACATGCCTAGCTTCGGACGAAAACCGTCTAGTTTCCCTAAGAAAACCGTAAAGTTTCCGAAGATATCCGAAGATCACCTTTTAGTTGCCGAAGATTAGTTTCCGAAGAAAGCCGTAAAGTTTCCGAAGATCGCGATCGCCTTTTTGATCCAAAGAAAACTTTGACCGTTAGATAGGGTGATGTTCGATGGCAGATGACAAGCAGCCAAAACGTAAGAAAAGTCTGCAACCTTTTCGGAGAGTGTTTCACAATTTGACTCCCTCGACCCGGACGTGGATATGACTGCAGGGAATCAGTTATATAGTTGCATTATCGATTCTCGCTACAATATTGTCAGTTGTGGTTGTCACACTCTCGGGCGTTTTGAAGCCCCTGATGTCGCCCCCCATGTAGGTGGGAGATTGGGAGCCGACAGAAATGAAGCACCGCAGTGAAAACCACCATGTGGCTCCACCTTTTTGCAAAGACCCACAGAACTGGAAACGTTGGTAGATGTTGGTAGTAGGGTACTTATTGTATGAACATTCATCGCAAAGCCTCTATCAAAAAGAACTGCTGGAACACATCGTGTCATGCATGGAGCCCTCATTCTTTCAACGCAAAAGCCATTTCGGGCGTGTGCCAGAGTAAGAGTGATATGCAAACGCTTACATACATCCTGTACATGACATACCTTTCGCTGAGCCCCTTTTAGGCTTCGGAAAAGCGCGCTACCGCCTTCCATAATAATGGAGCAGGGTTGCTCCTGCTCCGGGCCCCCCGTAAACCAGCGGGTGGGCGCCTGTAAGTCCACAAAGAGGCGTGGGTTGGCCTAAAGCCCTATCATTGTATTGTGGGGTGGCACCCATGGCCTCGGAACCTCGCCCTAAGTGATGGGTTGGCGATGGCAGCTGTTGGTGGACCTCAAGCTCAGGCGCAGCAGCAGCAGCAGCAGCAAGCTCAACAGGCGCAGCCACCTCTTCCAGCCCAACAAGTTGGAGCCACAGGACCTGATCGATACTCGGGCAATCGGCAAGCTGAGGAGTTTCTCTGGCAAGGAGGAAAGCTGGGCAGCTTGGTTCTTTGTGGCTCGTGGCTACTTGAACCTGCTGGTCACCAGCTACCAAAGCCTTGATCCAGGCAGCGGAGAATGCCAACAGCTATATTGACCAAATATAGAATGGCTGACATGGGACAACACGCACAACAGAAGCCCATCCTGTTCAACCTCCTCACGCCTCACGCAGAGCGTTGATGGACGAGCCCTACAGGTGCTGATGAACGTGGAGAATGGGAATGGCTTTGAGGGTTGCAAGGCTGTGCGCGAGGCTTACGAGCCTGACGTGGGTGGCAGGCACACTGCCATGTTGATGAGCATCATCGCTCCTTCAGACCTTTGTGGGAAAATGTGAAGGCTGGCAACTTCCTGGAAACGTTAGAGAGTTGGGAGGTCCTGACAAGACGCTATGAGATCCAGGCCAAGGAGCATGTCTCTGACTCCAGAGACTTTGATCAAACCACATGAATTTCTCGGCCATCTTAATCATGTAATTAGATCTCTGTCTCAAATCCAGCGATGAATCTTATCATCATCCGTTCCAATGCAATTTTCAATTGGCACGCCGCAAAAGCGTTTGCGTTCGCAGCAAGGCTTCTTGGAAGCATCGAAAAGAATTGGCAAAGGCATCAACAAAGGTGGCAAGTTCGTTAAGAAGGGAAAAGCACCAGCGCTGAAGAAATTCAATGGAGAGTTCTATTGCTGTTGCAAATGGGAAGAAGGCTGACTGCCGTCTTCTGGCCATGGAGAAGGCGAAGCGTGAGAGTGGTGGCAAAGGCAAGGGCAATACCACCAATGCCATCACATAGACATCAAGCACTATGGCAGAAGGATCCAGTTCACCCAGTGGTTGCCAGCAAGCCGATGCTGTGTACTATTCGCTGCCTGACGATGGAGAGCGTGTGGACTGTGCTGAAGCAATAGACAATTTCGAGATCGAGGATTCCAATCGAGGACGATTACGGGACGAAAGGTGGGTGATGGTTCGATGATGGTTCACCGAAGCAAGAAGCCGGCACCTTCTACTGGCTCAAAGAGGTCAAGTACTTGCTGTGGGACTCAGGCAGTGATGAGCGTCTATGTCGATGGAGCTTTGGAGGAGATCTTCACACGGAGCCAAGTTGATGGGCATCTCAGAAGCGTGCCTGGGTAAGCTGGGCAGGAAGAAGTCAACAACAACCTGATCACCGTGACAGAGTTCAAAGTGAGTGACCAAGCCAGCAAGGATGCGCTCAGCGTCGGCAAGATGAGCCGGTCTGGGTTTGCAGCGGACATGAGGAACCCCGTGAAGCCTCATCCATCCCAGGCTCAACTTCCGGATTCCCCTACCTGCATCGCAACTCCTACTACAACAAGGTGCGCGACGCTGAATCAATCCCCATGAACTCCGAGGTTGCGGCGGGCTTGATTGTGGCGCCTGTAGCTGGACAAGCAGAAGGATATGATCGGGAGCACGCAGGCAAAAATCTGGAGACACCCTGTGTGGTCAAGACGGTGATTTCCTTCATTGCGCAGCTTGGCTACCTGGAGGTAAAGGTCGGGAGCGACAATGAGCCCGTGATCAAGAAGATCGTGGCCAAGATCGCTGGAACCTTGAGAGAAGGGAAAGGGTGAGGAGGTGAAGGGCTGAGGATTCAGTTTGAAGCAGTTGCTGCGCGGTGATGTCCTTACACTCAGGTACCAGATTGAAGCCAGCTACGGCGTCACTTTGCATACCTCACACAACCTATTGGCCATGGCTGGCGGGGCGGTGCCCCTTCATCAGGAGCCGGTTCAATGCGAAGGGCAATCAGAGGAGAGCGTATGAGGATGTATTGCCTTCTGGGTGGGACCGTCCTCTTCAAGACCCCCACGAGTAAGGCCAGGAGATCCCGCAACAGCATCAGGCCATCTTCCTTGGGAGAGTATTTGCTGGGAACTGAGGAAGGGACAGTGTCGGCCAGAAGTGCGCGCATTGCTGAGGCGCTACAACAAGGAGCTGATGGAGAAGATGATTGGAGTGCCATGGGACCAGGGCACAACCACGCACAACCATTGGCAGGGCGAAGAGGAAGGCAAAGATCGCATTGTCTCCGACGCGCAATTTTAACCCCAACTGAGGAGAAGGCCAACAAGAGCCCCACGCTTGTGGGGACATCCAAGAGGAGGATGAGGGCGCCTTTCCTGTGAAGTCAGGACCTTCATTCGGCATCAAGAGACCTTGCAATGTCAGCAAGACGGGCATGGGCTGGGCAGTAGGTGAGATGACACCGGAAGCCAAGCGCTCGTGTGGCCCGTGGCAGTATCTTTGTGGTTCCGGCGCTGCGTGTGTGTCAAATGAGCGCCAGCGTCCACACGAAGCACAATGACTGGCATTGACTGGCAATACCCTTTTCTTCCGGCTTGCCGGATGGCTGTGAGCAAGAAACAGAGGGAAAGAGTTTTCATGTACTGTAAATAGGTGCTGTTTATTTCACTCCAGGTAGGCAGGACAGACTGACCCTTGAGATCTTTTTGGACGGGTTTGGCTTGACTTGGTTGGCGTGACTTTGTTGGCTTGGCTCGTCTTCGGCTTTCCTTTGGGTTGATTTTGCCTGGGCTAGGTTTGGTTGGGTTTTGGCTTAAAGGCTTTGGCTTCCTTGGCTTCGGCTGGTGCACAGTAGAGCTTCGAAACATACAACACTTGCGAAAAAAAAATCCAATGCCAAAAAGTGTCCTGGAGGAAACTCGAGTTGTCAGGGCTCAGGGAAGCTTGAGTCGGGGTCGAAAACAAAGCTTTCGGAGTATATTTTCCAAAAAACATCAACTTTCGAGAAAACGATGGTTTATCATCCAAGTTGCCAGGCCAACCAGGCCAAAGCCAAGCCAAGCAAACTATTTTAGGCATCGTGGAGCGGTGGACACTGTTTGTGGATTACTTTGATTCAGGTATACAGGTGTACAAGTCGGAGATTCTGGGGCAGACTGAGGGACTAGCTACTATATTTTGTTTTCAGAAGGGTACAGACTAGTAAAGTTTGTTTTTTGGAAACAAGGTGACAAGGTTTGAAGAAACAAGCGTCCAACAGTGGAGTTTTCCAGACTAATGTAGAGAAAAACTGCGACTTTGGAACGCGCACCGCAACACCGACACGTACGCACTTCCCATCATTTCTCCACGTCACATGACCAACACGACGTCTCACTGCATTACAAAATTGCCACGCAAGCATCGCCGATCAACCGAAATATATTCCGCATATCATGGTGGCACCGAACATGATATCATCCCTGGCATGACATGATGTCGTTGCTGGCGTGACATGGTGTCATTCATGACGCGATCTCATCCCTGGCATGACATGATGTCATCCCTGCCATGACATGATGTCATCCCTGCCATGACATGATGCCATTCTTGGCATGACATGGTGTCATCCCTGGCATGGCACGATGTCGCTCTGGGCATGACTTGGTGTCATTCTGCGCATGACATGATGTCGTCCCTGGCATGACGTGATGTC